CAGTGGCAGATGCCTATAAATCCCAATAAACTGGGAGGGTGAAACAGAAGGATCTTGAGTTTGAGACCAACTTGGGCAACTGAGTGACTTAAACAAAACAAAACAAAACAAAACAAAAAAATTTAAAGAAAATAAATAAAATAAAAGGGCTTGGATGTCGCTCAGCATGAAGATGCTGAATTCAATCCCCAGTGGCACAAAACTAAACAAAATAAAGCCCCACCTTCCTGAGGACACTTGGGAAAAATGGAGATGTTTACTATTTCAATTAAAGGCATGGCTTTTTGAATCAATACATTTCTCAAATTTGAGGCATTCAACTCTCACCATGTTTACTCTTGTATCACCAATGTTATCATATGCTTACCATTTCTCTCTTTTAAAATCTGAATGAGGGGCCAGCAAGCTAGCTCAGCTAAAGCGCCTGCTTAGGCAAACTTAGGCAAAGCGTACAGGGACCACGGCTCGATCCATGGCACCACATGCCGCACCAGCCCTGCACCTGGGGTGGGCTGAGCCAGCCACAAATAAAAGAAAATAAAATCTAAACAAAACAAAAACTATGTTTTTTAGTATGACTAGAAAACCAATATCTCTTGCAATAAGGTTTTTTTTTAAGTAAGCATGAAAATAAATACATAAAGAAAGGTGTGCAAACTGAGCTCAGAACTCAAAGCTACTGCTGCTTCCATCTAGTGGCTTCTGGTGTCTGGGTGAAGTGGAACCAAATACCAGTGCACTCAGATATATAAAACAAATATTAACAGACATGAAAAATCAAATAAGCACTAATATAACTGTATTGGGAATCTCAATGAAATATTAGAACTGAAGTGGATTTTTTTGTTTGTTTGTTTGTTTGTTTGTAATGCCAGGGACTGAACTCAGGATCTTGCACTTGCTAGGCAAGTGCTTATTCTGCTGAGCTATCTTCACAGCCTAGAAGTGAACTTCTGAATGAATGGACTTAGTAGATGTCTATTTGGTGTTCTACCCTATAGCATTAGAATACATATTCTTCTCAACTGCACATAGGACATTTTCCAAAATAAACTACATACTAACTTAGAACATGCTTAAGTAAATGCAAAGGAATTGAAATCATCCCTGTATATTATCAGACCATAGTGCAATAAAATTGGAAATCAATGGCAAAAGAAATCACAAAAACTTCTTGAACACATGGAAATTAATTAACACCTTCCTGAACAAACAATGGGTTACAGATGAAATTAAAGAAGAAATTAGATAGTTTCTACAATTAAATGATAATGCCAAAACAACATATCATAACTTATGGGACATAATGAAAGTAGTTCTGCAAGAGAAATTTGTAGTGGTGAATATTTTAGGAAAACAGAATGAGCTCAACAAAACAATTTAATGTTGAACCTCAAACTTTCAGAAAAATAACAAGTCAAGCCCAAATGTCATATGAAGGAGGAAATTATAAAGATCACAACAAAAATTAATGCAATGGAGACTAAGAAAATAATACAAAGAATCAATGAATCACAGAGTTGGTTCTTTGAAAGATTAAATAAATAGACAAACCCTCAGCTAACCTAAAAAAGGAAAAGACTCAAATCCATGCAATTAGGAATGAAAAGGGTAAAATCACAATAGATCATGCAGAAATCCAGAAGATCAAATAACTATTTTAAGAAGCTATATTTTAATAAGATGGGAAACAGGAGAAATAGATGTTAGACACACATGAGTTGCCAAAGTTGAATCAAGATCAACAAAATTGAAGCTATAATTAAGCTACAAAGAAAAGCCCAGGCCTTGACAAATTCTACAAGAAAGTTAGCAAAGACCTAATGCCACTACTTTTCAGACTCTAATAAAACCGAAAGGGAAGCAATGCTCCCAAATTCTTTACTGGAAGCAATCATTGCCTGGTACCAAAACCAGAGAAGAATCTAACCCAAAAAGACAGCTACAGTTCAATCTTCCTAATGAACATAGATACAAAAATTCTCAATAAGACGCTGGCAAACAAAATGCAGCAAATCATTGATCATACAACATGACCAAGCAGGAGTCATCCAAGGGATGCCAGATTGACTCAACATATGCAAATCAATAAATATAACACACCATACTAACAGAACCAAGGAAAAAACCATATGATTATTTCAATAGACACAAAAAAAGCATTTGACAAAGTCCAACATGCATTCATGATAAAAATGCTGCACAAAATTAGAACAGATGGTCTTTATCCCAATCTGATAAAAGTCATCTATGACAAACCAACAGCCAACATCATACTAAGTGGACACAAATTGAAGGCTTTCACTCTAAAAATAAAGGACAATGGAGATTAAGGACAAGGATAGTTCAATCCCTGGTCCTGAAAAAAAAAAAAAAAAAAAAAAAGGACAAGGATGTCCACTGTCACCACTCTTATTCAACATAGTTCTGCAAGTATTAGCCAGAGCAATTAGACAAATGACATAAATGAAAGGAATAAGGATAGGAAAGGAAGAAGTCAAATAACTCTTATTTTCAGATGACATAATACTCTATAAGGAAGACCCCAAAAACTCTACCCAAAGACTTCTACATTTAATAACCAAAATCAGTAGTGCAGCTGGACACAAAGTCAACACTCAGGGATGGGGATATAGCTCAGTGGTCTAAGTGACCCCTGGCAAGTGCATGAATCTGGGTTCAGTCCCTGGTACTGCATGCTGTGCTGGCCCTAGAACCCCAGGAGTGCTGTGCGGGTCACCCAAACCAGGCATGGTGGTGCATTCCTGTAATCCCATTGATACAGGGAGAAAAACTGATCTCGGGTGGGTGACCTTCAAAAGATACAGGGAGCCTCCAAATGACATAAGGAAAAATGATCTCCCAACCTGACCTGCACAAGTTTGTGTCGAAGAACAAATTTTAGGAACAAATGGAGGTTATGAGCAGAATATATATATATATATATATATATATATATTTTTTTTTTTTTTTTGGTGGAACTGGGGATTGAACTCAGGCCCTTGCACTTGCCAGGGAAGTGCTTATTCCACTGCGCCATCTCCCCGGCCCCAAAATATATTTATTGAGGGAAAGAGGAAAGAAAGCTCCTGTTTGAGAGAGGGACAGGAGGTCCACCACCCCCCAGTGGGTTGTTCCCCTGGGAAGCTGTCTCTTCCAGGGACTTTTATAGTGTAAAACCATGCGGAGGGGGGTGGTTGGTGAGATGGCTCAGTGGTCTGAAGCACCTACTTAGAACAAGCTTAGCAAAGCACAGGGACCACGGTGTGATAGATTACAGAGATTTAGATTTAAAATCTTTATTACAGTAAAGGACATTCTACCATGAATCCCCCTCAGGATCCTCCCCCTGGCTTCACACATGATTAGCCTATTTTCCTGTCACTTTCTGAAGCAGTCCCAGAAGTCCTCTTTCCTGAGTATCTTTAGTTGAGCTGTCATGGTGGCCTCCATGAACTGGCTCAAAATGTCACCCTTTCATGTTCATTTTGACTCTGGGGAAAAGCCAGAACTTTCACAGTGCCAAATATCATATATAAGGTGGATGAGGACGCACCACCATGTTTTATGAGTCTACTTCTTGGTTGGATAGCACTCAGCACAATGTTCACTGCATTTTTTTTTTATCAGATTTGTGTGTGTGTGTGTGT